ACACTTGCACTCAAAATTAGAAAATGGAAATGGGGAAATAGCTGGGCTAGTGTCACAGAGGACAAACAGGTGGATGCAAGGCGCAGAAGAGACTATACCAGTGGGAAGAGATCTACACTGATCATCTAGTCCAGCTGCCTGACCACTTCAGGGCTGACCAAAAGCTAAAGCACACCATTTAGGTACTTTCCAAATACCTCTTAAACACTGACAGGCTTGGTGCATCAACCACATCTCTAGGAAACCTGTTCCAGTGTTTGACTGTCAAACTGGCTTAAAACTTGTATGAAGCTGTAGTTCAAGAGAATGTCATGAGATAACTAAGCCGACCTAACAGACCACTGCAAATAAAAGACCTCTCCCCTCCTTTTGCTAAATTGAGGGAAACAAACTCAGAAAAGCCAAATTAGATTTCTCCTGGGTTTACAAATGGAACAAGGCAACTAAATGACAAGAAGGCTGCCAGAAGCATCACATGAAGAAGACAGGGTTTCACAGCTAGAAGGAAGGAAAAGGAGAGGGATCAACAGGACCAGTCCTTTCCCCAGCAACAAAAGGCCTCAAGATGGGCTCAAGATTCCTTGCTGAATCACACTTGAGACCAGCAGGGAAAGAAAGTCATAGTACCGATTGCAGGAACAGATGCTGACATGTATGACCCTGCAGTGTTGGAAGGATGAGGCTTTGCTGTCAGCCTTCCCACCACCTCCCTGTCAGCCTTGAATCTCGGTAGTTTGTCAAGTCAAGTCATTTTACCACTGAATAATCACTAGGACAGGTACAGACTGGTTTATGCAATCCCAGGCTCTTGGTCAACTGTATTTGCGCCCCTGCCTCCTCCAGTCTGGCAGCATAACTTTTCAGACACCTACACGACGGTGCAGACAAAGAAACTAATCTGGCTGAAAAACAACTTTTTCCGCTGGGCTACTTCTTCTGTCAGATCAGTTCAATGATCAATCACAGCACCAGACAAACAACTGTGCAGTAGCTGAGAGGTGGCCAGAACAAACGGCCTGAGGTGACTGCTGCCAAGAAGAGCTGTACAGGACCAATGCCTGAAATTTGGCTTTCCAAATAATAGTAATAACAAAAAATTTAAAACATATAAAAAGGCTAAATACTATGTTTCAGACAACACTGAGAGTCAAACAAAGCAGCCTGACTACTGCTATAAAGCTCCTATAAAATTCTCATCCCTACAGCTTTTGCAACAAGGTTACATTTTAGCTGCATGCAGAGTTAAAGAATAGTTACATAATTCAATTAAAGTTCAGGGGAAATCAAGCACTAGTTTGGGGTTTTTTTACTGCTCACAAAACTATTTCTTTGTCTCAAGTTCAACTAGGTATGCAAACTTTCAGTATATTAGAAGATAAAATTTATCATGTTGTGATCTGACATGTGCTTCTGACTCAGTACCTCAACACAGCTCTGTTTATGGCTGGATTTACGACTTTGGTTCACACCACAAACTTTGTTCAGAGGCACAGCCTGATTACACCAATGTCTTTTCAAGGGTGAGAAGCTAACAGCGAGGGCTAAAGAGTAATACTGACTTCTGTAGAAGCCAGCAAAAGGAGAATGAGATCATTTGAGAATGTTCCATGTTTTGAAAGCAGAAACAAAATCCCCATTGCCTTTGATGCTTAAACAAGCTGACTTAAAACAATTGAAAGAGCAGACAAAAATCTTGTGTTTATTTTTAATAAAAGCAAAACATCCTTTAGTAATTTTTGTGTGTGTTTTTTTTTTCCCTTTTAGAATCAGTCTTTATCACAGAATAGCTAGGATTGGAAGGGACCTCTGGAGATCATCTAGACCACCCCCCCTGCCAAGCCAGAGTCACCTAGAGCAGGTTATGCATCCAGGTGGGGTTTGAATGCCTCCAGAGAGGGAGACTCCATGACCCCCCCCGATTTACAAGTGCCATGGGGAAAAAATGTAATTCAGTAAATGACACAAAACCTCCTCGGGCTGCACTGCACTCGCCTTATATTTTGATTAACATCTATGCACTGCCTCACCCTTCGCAACTCCTAAGCGTTTGTGAGGCCGTGGCAGGACGACGATGCCCGGTGCAGCTCTCGGACGGCACAGCTGAGGTGCTGCCCCTCCGCCTGAGCTTCTGGGAGGCTTCAGCCCTCACGGCTGCAGTGATGCCCGGCTCCCGACGCGCCGCGCCGGCTTTCTGAGGGGCACCCCTGCAGCTCCTGCCGGGCTCAGCGGAGGTTCCAGCTGCTCGGGCCCAGCGCCGGCCCCGAGCTGCCCGAACCCCGCGCCCGCCTCCCCGTCCCGCCGCAGCCCAACAAAGGCTGAGGACGGCCCGCGCCCCCCGCCAGGCCGGCACGGCCCTCTCCCTGCCCGGCTCGCTCACCACGGCCCCGGACACGGCGTGCACCAGGCTCTCGTAGGAGGCGACGGACGACATCGCGGCGGCTCTCGGGGGCTGCTCCGCCGGCCGGCCCTGCGGCCCCGCGGCCCCGGCCAGGTCTCTGCTGGCGCCCGCCGCCCCCGCCATGGCGCCCGCCCCCGTCACGTGCCGCCGCTGGCCCCGCCCCCCCGGGCCCCGCGATGGGCGGGCGGGGGGAGGCGGAGGGGCCGCTCGGGGTGGTTTCCGCGGCTTTTAAGAAAAATACAGGATTAGGAGATCTGGGAAATGCATTGTTGTTCCTTCCTCTGAAACTACAATAACGCCTTTTCCCTCCAGCACCAGCTTCGCTTTGAGAGGAGGCGGCTGGGAGGAGACCTCATCAATGCCCATCAGTATCTGAAGGGAGGGTCCCAGGAGGATGGATCCAGGCTCTTGGTGGTACCCAGCAATAGGACAAGAGGCAACGGGAAGAAATTCACGTACAGAAAGATCCACCTGAACATGAGGAAGAACTTCCTTACTGTGAAGGTGACCACGCACTGGAACAAGTTGTCCAGAAAGGATGTAGTCTCCTCACTGAAGATATTCAAGAACTGTCTGGACACAATCCTGTGCAGTGTGCTCTAGGATGGCCCTGCATGAGTAGGGAGGTTGTACAAATGACCCACTGTGGTCCCTTCCAGCCCTACCCATTCTGTGATTCCCATTTAACATAAGCATTTAATTACAAAGAGGAAGCAGTATTTAACTTTGCATTCTGATTCTGCATTTTTTCAAACTACAGCCCCTTCTACTTACATAGAGCCCAGTATCTTTAAAGTAACGCTTTTTCAAGATAATAATTTCTTATTCCATGTGGACCAGTCGAGCCTGATGCATTTTCAAACAGGGATTGTTTAATCTGGAGAAAAGGAGGCTCCAGGGGGACCTCATCACTCTCTGCAACTACCTGAAAGAAAACTGAAGCAAGGTGGGGGTTGCTCTCTTCTTCCAAGTAACAGGTTACAGGAAAAGAGTAAACAGCCTCAAGTTGCACAAAGGGAGGTTTATGTTGGATATTAGGAAATTTTTTTTCACTGGAAGGGTTGCCCAGCATTGGAATAGGCTGTCCAGGGAAGTGGTTGAGTCACTATCCCTGGAGGTATTTAAAAGACATGCAGATTTGACACTTGGGGACATGGTTTACTAGTGGATGTGGCAGTGCTGGGTTTGCTGTTGGACTCAGAGTTTTTTCCAAATTAAACAATTCTATGATTCTATTTTGTTTACTCCTTTTCCCTGCCTATAAGTCCTCACTCCTCCTCCACTATCATGCCAAGAGACTGCTCAAGGCGTGCAGCCGAAGCACACCACTACAAACAGGCATCTCCTGGCTTGTCACACCCTTTGGTGGCTGAGGATGGAATGAGAAGTCCTACCAAAACAGCACCAGGCACAGGTAGCAAAGCCAAAGGACAGGGGAGCCACAGCTCATAGCAGTTAGTCAGGGCACACAGCGACAAGGCTATTAAATACATTGTTTGGGAAAATGTCAATAATCCTATAGCCTTTGCTTAACCTTTTATGCTTGAGCTGCAAGAGCTCTTAGTGCTTACACCTGTGCTATGAGTCAGCATACCATCCAATACCTAAATAAGGACAGGGCAGTTGAAACATTACACGCTTCACAAGAGTTTTTACCACAGTTGGATAAGCTATTTCTTTTTGGGAAGACGTCCCTTCATTAGGTGGCTAACAGACCCCTTGTCTTTACCCTTCTGTGGGGAAAACACCACTATCTTCTCTGAGGGACTCAGGATGTAAAGAACATGGGCTACTCTGCCTAAGGCAAGTTTGAGAAAAACATTTTTCCAGTGCAGTGTTCCAGCATCCCTGTGCTCAGACATTAGAGGCTGATACCAGCAGAGGCCACAGTTCTTTTATACAAGGCTGATACCGCTGGTAATCCTTTTTTTTTTTTTTCCCCATATAAGATGCCTGTGATGGATACACTCACTGACTGAGTGACGGGTATTTTGGTTGGGGCATCACCAAAAAGCAGGCCTGACTGAAATCACCCCTGTAGTGCAAACCCAGAGAATCATCCTAAGCTGTATCTTACCCAGGAACAAAGGAGTTTAGGCCATGTCTTATCAGGAGCCCACAATACCAGTCTGAGCTGGAACTGAAACTGCTATAGCTGCACACCAAAAGGGGGGTTGACTGCAAGTCAATCACTTTATACTCTAAATATCTGTAGCCCCATGAGCCCACTGAGCTCTCCCATATGGCAGTGGGCTGCTTGGCAATGATTTCACTCTTGAACAGGGATGCCTATTAAGGTTAATTCTAAAGGCTGAAAGACCCCTTGACCAAACATCTGATACCTATAATGTGGCAGTGACAATTATACATTAAGCCTAAAAGTATATTGTATACTAGTGTTAGTTTTTTATATATCCAGCTATAGCTTAAGATCAGAAGTGTACCAAGTAATAGAGTGTTTGACTGGAGTCTGAATTATTGTTTATACTATCACTTAAAACACTGTCAAATCAGTTTAATTAGCATTCAATTATTGCTTAATAACAATTCTATCATCATCATCAGATTTTTATTCAGTTGTCAATTAATTATCCTTTGATCATTGTCATCATTAATAAAACTATTTTAGTTAACCCCACATTGATGACTTGATAACCCACCTGTGACACCCCCCTACCTGCAAAAGATTCAAACCTTAGTTTAGAATTAAGATGTACACAGGTCACTAGCTATCTCCTGACACTAAATCAGCCAAGAGCAGCTTAGGTTTTACAAAACCAGGGAACAATTACACGAAGTGACTTTGCACAATCAGGTCCACGAGCTTTCGGGAGAAATGCCTCAAACAGGACACAAACTCCCATTATTGCTGTTCTTTGTAACTGTCCCTCTTGTGTGGAGGGAAACTTTCACCAAAGAGTCAGTTTGTACTGCAGAGTGAATTTCCATCCTAACTGTGCACCCAAATAATTCTATATTATTATTATTATTCTATTTGTACAACACTATGCCCTGTATATATTGCAAAACAATATTAACAGCTAATGTAACCTGAGTATTAACAGGTAATGCAACAATTGCAGTATTCCAAAAGCAACTTACCTTACTGCTGGGACATACAGACCTAGTGAAGCTGTCCAAGAAATACAAGGAAAACAATAAAGTTAAACAAATGTGCCAGTGTGTTCTACAGTGAAAAAAAAAAAAAGAAACCTACCTAAAAACCTAACTACATAAAAAGTTCCACCAAGACATGCTCTTAGGTCTTCACAGAAACACCGCAAATTCAACAGGTTCCCAGGCAAACACGAAAAATGCACAAGTGCAGTTTAAGCAAGGATAGAAGGCCCAAGCTACCTGCTTCTCCTCAAATCTGTCAATTCTACTAGAAAGCCTGGAAGAAGTGAACTAATTAAGCAACTACAAGTATGAACACATACTCTGTACATGAACTACATCTCAGTCATTTCTTGTTTGCGTAATTCTGCAGATTCCCATACAAGGAGGTAATCAATCTTGAGAAACTTTATCCTTGATGGATTTTGACTGGCCCACAACTTTTTTTCTGAATCATAACAAAGAATGAGGACACTGCTGGTGACTCCAGAGGTCATTTTACTGCCTCTGCACTATGTCTTACCTTAGAAAAAACAGGATAAACTCTGAACTTAAAATAATTCTACCCTACTACTTTTCTTTATTCTAAAATTATTAAAAAAAAAAAAAAAAAAAAAAAAAAAAAAAAAAAAAAAAAAAAAAAAAAAAAAAAAAAAAAACAGATTCAGAAATGTGTATGTCTATGTCCTTTATTTGTGCTTAGGGATTAAATTCATTAGAGTGCAAACATGTTAAGGCAGAATTTAATGACTACTTTCTGAATCTGTTGCAAAACTTTATCTCTCAGAGAAGGTGGATAAACTGGATTATACTCCCAGTACCTCATAGATAAAAGCAACTAGAGATTAACAAATGAGATTGCATGTGCTGACAATCTGAATTCATTAAATAGAGCAACTTGATCACACCAACTTGTCAAGATCAGGTCTAAGTACTAGGACCATGGCAAAACCAGCCTATTCCAGAAGAAAGCACTGTAATGACAAACATATTAAAAAGCCCATTTTTCAAATATATGTGTGCACACTTTGCCTGAACAGATTCTGAGTTCTAGATTGATGCAGAATTTTCCTTATGCGCTTCATCTAGGTCGAGGAACATCGGAGAAGTTGAAATTCTTTTAAATTTAAATTACTTGAATATGTCATTATGAATCTCCTGTTACGGTATTTTCTCAACTGCCTTATTAGACCAAATGTGCCTTAGCCACCTGTAGTTTTACACAGACTAAATAACTGTCAAACACAATTTTTGTTACCTTGATGTTGTTGTTTTTTAACCCCAAGCACTTGATAAATGTCTAACATCTGTTCTAATTGCAAAATTTTTCTGGTCTTCCAGACTAGTAATTCATTCCAGTTCACATTTTTTTTTTCTTCTGGTTTGGTAACTTTTCACACAAGAGACAAAAGAAAAAATGTAACAGATTAGAAAATGGCTTCTGAAAATCTGTTTTTTTCCAAGAACTTCTCCTCTTTATAGGATAACACACAAGAAAGTGAGGACAAATCATCCTGTAGAACAGGTGTGTTAATTTGTCCTTATAAAGTCTTAACAAAGAGCCATATTTCAGACCCATTTTTTAAAAAAAATCTGAAATAAGAAAGCACAGGTGGCATTTGGTGCCTTTTTTTTTCCAAATAAGAAATAGACACCAGTGGCTGAGCATCAGTATGGATTTTCTCTAATGAAAGGCAGTGCAGTTGGTAGCAGCTCAGATATTTAATTCTCAATATAGTACCTTGATATTTTTCCATCTAATTCTGATGATTTCCTAAATTGTACCTTCAGCCTATTTTAAAAGGTAATTTTGTTGAACATTGTGCTGGGTTTTATGTGATTTCAGCAATGATATTTTTCTTCCTGAAATGCAAATTCAACTAATTTCTAGTAACTCTTACTCGCTGTGACATTAGAAAACGAAATGTTTCAATAATGGAATTCAATCTACAATTACCTGCTTTAGACCTCACCTCATTATTTACTTTACACAAGTACCTTGTCTTTCTGAATACCTTTGTTCTATACAAATCATGCTTACCATTCGACTGCTTCAGCTGCTGTGCTTCAGGAAGAAATTCCAAGATAAACTGCTAATCCAAATCTTGTAATCCTTCACAATTAATTTTTTTACATAGAGTAGCAACTCGTATTCCTTGTAAATTATTCCCTGAAATAAATGATTGCACATTAAAAAAAATCCTGTGCAACAACAAAGATGCCAAAATTTGTAACCCACTTACTCAAAAAAAAAGAACCGTAACACATTCTGCAAATACTTTCACTTCTTGACAAGATCTCAAGCTTGTCTGAGGTCATCCATCTAGAATATACCTTTCAAAGTGTATTTGACAGGTCCAGCAGTAACAGTTTGTTAGAAGGCTTACAAGATAACATCTGGATCTGGTTAGTCATCAAGATTCAGATTTACAGGAAAGTCCTCAGTATTTACATTCAGTGGGACCTCAGGATCTCCAGTCAGTAGGGAAGAAGAAAGGTTAATCTTACATGAAGTTCCTGTTTGTGAGGACCATATCAAGTGAATGTGACTTACCTATGCTCTGATTCACAAGGTGATCAATGACTTGTAGCCCAAAGTCACATGAATTTTATCGTTGCTCCTTAGCACAGGTCCACCAGTCACCTCTGATCTGCTTCATTTCTTTGTCATACTAAAAGTGTTCCTGCTTCCCCTGTATTTGCATTTTCTTGTATCACACTACTACCTCCTAGGACTTGTCTTGTAGTACTGAACATGAAGGTGTCTGCATTCAATTGGACACTGCCATTTTTTACTCCAGCTCTGTGGTACTACAGAACTACTTCTCTACATTTCTGTCCTTACTCCATCATGTAAGAAGCAAGATTGAGGCCCACCACTGCAGAGCTCTGAATAAGGTTCATGAGACACCTTTCTTCAGGCATCAGAAGAAAATACTGCTACTGTTTTCCGGTCAAACTACCAATCCACTTCAGTACCAGTAACTTCCAGTAGCAGACTGCCCTGCAGCGAAAGCAAACAACCCTCTAAACTCTATCACCAGTTCAACAGCTTGCTTGCTCTACAACCCTGAAAGCACTGAGGCATTCCTCAGCTTAGATGCCATGTGGGATTGCAAAGGGACTCCAAACACTTCCAGTAAGTAGCATGCCGTGATCCATGCGAATATACATGCCAAAGCTACCCCGGCTCCAGCTCACTCTGGCTAGGTCCACAACCTCCCATCCCACGGGGCGAAGGTCTCTGATCAGACAGCAGTTGCCATGAGCTCCCATAATATCATTTGCTCTTCCATCTCACAGAAGAGGGATGTACAGGCATATGTCAGAGTGTGGTTTGTATGAGCTTTATGGAAAAGCCCTGAAAGTAACAGACAAGAAAGATGAAGCGGCATTTAAAGACATTTTAAACTACAGATAGTACTTGCAACAAGCTGTTTCTGTAACATTTTTTTTATATGGCTTTTACATTAAAAAGCCTTTACATGGCTTTTTAATACTCATTTATTGACCCATTCTGCCTCTGGCCTTATCACTGCTCTGCCCAGGCTCATCGCACCTGCTTTCATCCAACTTTGAGACAGTCTGGCTCCAGCCCATCTGATCACTGCCTTCCAACAAAGAAAATCCAAACCATTTTGACAAAGAGTATTTATTTGCAGTGCAACACTGAAGCAAGAGAAATTTTCAGAAAAATTCTGGTAAAGGCACCAAGCTTTGCATTCTCCACATTAATATGCAATAGGGCTCCGTGTGAACTACAGCAGCCTGGATGTGACAATTGAACTGACACTTATTTTCCCTTGGGTCAGCAGGTGAATGACTGA